TCCACCATGTTTGTCAAGGCTAGTCTTGATTCCTGACCTCAAATGATCCTAACCTGCATTGGCCCTCCCAAAGTGGCTGGGATGTCTTTTTTTTTTTTTTTTTTTTTTTTTTTTTTTGAACGGAGTCTCGCTACTGTCGCCCAGGCCTGGAAGTGCAGGCTGGCCCGGATCCTCAGCTCACTGCAAGCTCCCGCCTCCCGGTTTCATGCCATTCCCTCCTGACCTCAGCCTCCCGAGTGCTGGAACTGACGGCCGCCCGCCCCGCGCCCGCATAGTTTTTTGTATTTTTGTAAAGCAGAGACGGGGGTTTCACCGTGTTAGCCAGGGATGGTCTCGATTCCTGACCTCGTGATCCGCCTGCTCTGGCCTCGCCAAAGTGCTGGATTACAGCACCAGGCTTGAGCCACCGCGCCCGGGCCTGGGATGTCTTTTTTTTTAACATACAGTTCTTCACCTATTGGGTTGCCAGGTTGAGGTGCAAGTGTGGGTGCCTTCTTGGCTTGCTGCGAGCCATCTGCCCTCTGGGTTCAAGAGCGAAAGCTCCATCTCAAAAAAAAAAAAAAAAAAGTTTCCGTTTTTTTTTTTTTTTTTTTTTTTCTGAGACACGGTTCTCACTCTGTTGCCCAGACCTGGAGTGCAGTGGTATGATCTCGACTCACCGCAACCTCCGCCTCCCAGGCTCAAGCGATTCTCCTCCCGAGTAGCTGGGATTACAGGCGCCTGCCACCACGCCTGGTTAATTTTTGTATTTTTAGTAGAGACGGGGTTTCACCGTGTTGGCCAGGCTGGTCTCGAACTCCTGACCTCAGGTGATCCGCCTCGACCTCCCAAAGTGCTGGGATTTGCCGGCCTGTTCTTCCTTTAAAAAGGAATCATATTCTATTGTATGGATGCACCAAGTTTTGTTGACGGACACTTGGGTTGTTTCCACCTTTTGGCTAGTGTGCAGAACCCTGCCATGACCATGAGTATGCAGATTTCTTTTGGAGTCTCTGCTTTCACTCTGGTTTCCTTTTGAAGCCTTATACAGCTTTGTTGTTGGCTGAAATGATAAGGCAGCAGCTGACCTGTCTCTAGCTTTCCCCATTACCTTGCTGAGGGTGTCTGATATGCAACTTTGTAACACCCTTTCAGGTGGGATCCACTATTTTCTTTTTACAAACAAGGACATTGAGGCTGATAATGGGCCTAGGGTCACCCAGCTTGGGAGGAACAGGACTGTGGGTGGAACCCCCAGACTGATGTCAACTGAGTAGCTTCAGTTCTAGAAGTTCATCTCTCCTTAACTAGGATCAGAGTCAGAAACCTCCAAGGCAGAAGAGGTGGTAGACTTTTGAGGAATGTTTTGCCCAAAATGGGAAGGGAAGGGGAGATGGTATTATTTATTTATTTAATTTTATTTTTATTTTTTATTTGTTTTTTTTTGAGACGGAGTCTCGTTCTGTCACCCAGGCTGGAGTGCAATAGTGTGATCTCAGCTCACTGCAACCTCCGCCTCCCGGATTCAAGCCATTCTCCTGCCTCAGCCTTCTGAGTAGCTGGGACTACAGGTGCTCGCCACTACGCCCGGCTAATTTTTTGTATTTTTAGTAGAGACGGGGTTTCACTACGTTGGCCAGGCTGGTCTCGAACTCCTGACTTTGTGATCTGCCCACCTTGGCCTCCCAAAGTGCTGGGATTACAGGCATGAGCCACCGTGCCTGGCCTTACTTATTTTTTATTTTTATTATTAT